TGAAAAGAATAAATAATAAGAGATATATAATAACTAAAAAACGGGAAAATTGGAACATGGAAAACAGAGAAAACTACAAGAACCTCAGGAGACACAAACATTGCGAGGTGAAGTGACAGTAGTCGTGATAATTAGCAGCAGAGTCAACAAGGCTCTGTTAAAAGTGCACCACACTGATGTTATTAAATAACAGCACCTACTGTCTGTGTTAATATAGAGATACAATATGAATATAATATAGAATAAGATGCAAAAAAATAAAGAAATCAGAACATACTAATGTGATAAATTATGACGTATGGGATGAGTTATAGTATAAGGTGAACTGTCTCACCTGAAGGTATTACTTTGTCTTGTTTTATTTGTTGTAACACATTTATTTGTTGTAACACATGAGTTCTAACTGAATGCGACACAGGTGAGTGTCAGTTTGACAGCATTGTTTTCTATTGAAATGTTCCAACTGTCCAATAGTGACGCAGCGCTGCCATTTTGAGCTGATTTGTTGTCAGATGCTGTGTCTATGTATTTCTGCTGCTGGCTTTGAAACCTCCACAATGGACGAGGAACGGCTGATTCATGAAGCTGAAATGGGGAGTCCTCCTCATTTCACTACAGTAACCTAAATATGGTGGCAGCTGACTGGAAGTAGATTGTCCTGATTACTGTAATGCCCTACACACGGGCCGGCCTAAAACTGCCATTGCAAAACTATAGACTATTCAACATGTTGCTGCTGCCAGGGTTTCAACTAAAACTAAAAAGAAAGATAAAAAACCCTCCTGTTTTACAAAACCTACACTGGCTCCCAGTATCTATTGACTGTAAAATCCTTCCATGCTTTTTAAGGGTCTTAATGGCATCGCCCCCTGCTATATCCCAGACTCTCTTATCACCTTATGTCCCTCTACGAACCCTGAGATCCTCCACAGCTGCTTTTTTAACTGTTCCTAATGTCAGTGCAAAACCTTTGGGGATGCTTCTTCTAGCTGCTACGCCCCAAAAATATCGAACATAATAGACTTGCTGGCTCGGTGGGGGGTTTAAATGATGACTTAAACATATCTTTTTAACATAGCCTATAACAAGCAACTATCTGTTTTAATATTTGTAGTATGTATTTTTTATTACTTGATTAATAAATTAATTAATTCTTCTCATTTCTCTTTGAATGAGTGTTGTATAATTGTATGGTTTTATTTCTTTGCTTCTTGTCTCCACCGCTGAATTATAAAGTACTTTGTGCTGCATTCTGTGCATGAAAGGTGCTATATAAATAAAGTTCATTCATTCATTTATTCATCATCAGGGAGGTAAACATTATAACAACCTACTTGCTCTTGGCCATGGTGTGTGTCATTAGCAGTAAATATCACAATATAAAACATTTTTTATGTTTAAAAATTAAAATTGTAGAGAAATATAAAGTACCTGCACATCTTTTAAATGGTTACATCTCCAGTCAATCTGCAGCTGATAGGTAGGACGTTGTAAAATTTAAATGGGGCACACATTTCCCATTAACAGATTAAAATGTGTGTGCAGTGCACCTGCCTTATGACAGTGGCAGAGGAGGTGCAGTCAGGACTCTGCTGTGTGTTTTAACATGAAAATATAAGATGAACACAAATGAACTCTGCAAGATGATTCTGTAGTATTCCAAAGAATTTAAAATACATGACTTAGTGAGAGTAACCTATTGTAATACAACTTCCAAACTTCCATTAACAAAATGGTTTTAAGTTTCAGTTATAGTAATAAAAATTTTGTTCAACCAAAAATAAGCCTTCTGTTTTCATTCCTTTAATTCTGCCATATTTTCTGAGACGGTTATCGTACCGTAGAAATCTCATTCTGTTGCAACCCTGTAACAGAATATATCAACATATGTAGCAAAACCCACAAAAGGCATATTTTAAATACATTTTAAATATAAAGATACAATTTTTTTTTAGAAACTACATCTTCGGTCTCTGTATCAGGTCTGTGTGGGTCCTGGTTTGAATTTTTCTAGTGTGACAAGCTGAGAGGAATAAAGTGCCGTGTCACATTTGTAATGACTACACGATGTCAAAGTAATAATATTATCTGAACTATGTGAGTTTATCTGCTTAACAGTGAGTCTGTGTTGGATTTTTATGAAATCAAAGTTCACAGGAGCAGACAAATATGACAGAGTGCCTGTACCTGAAAACATGACTAAAAACATAACTCTTACATAACTGCATTCACGTAACATGTCATTTATCAAACTCATCTTTGCTTGAGAGGAAGTAACAACTAAAGCTGATAGAGAACATGATAAATAATATACAAAAACATGCACCTCTGCAGGCTGATGGGGAATTACCCTTTGTCAGCCTCAACCGGTGTGTGCAGGCTTGTGTTTCTGTGTGTATGTGCGTGTGTGTGTGTGTGTCTGTGCAGTGTTTGTGTTGTAAATCAGGAAATGATTTTGTTTTGATCCACTACACAACATTACATTACATTCAACTGGCAGAAGCTTTTATCCAAAGTGACTTTGAGTTTCACCCTACGCACATTGGGAGCTGTTTGGGGATCAGCATCTTGCTCAAGAATAGGCTGTTCTTTCAGAATGAATTCTTTCATCAGATGGAGATTGACCATCTGGTGACCTGGTGCGGACAAAGCAACTTAAAGCTCAACACTCTAAAGACAGCCGAGATGGTTGTGGATTTCTGGAAATACGCAGCCCCACCCGCTCCCATCACCCTGTGTGACTCCCCCAGTGGACGCTGTGGAGTCCGTCTCTTCCCTGGGCTTCATCGTCACTCAGCTGAAGATGAGCTCCACCATTAAAATAGCACAGCAGGGGATGTACTTCCTGCAGCTGAAGAAGTTCAACCTGCCAAAGACAATGATGGTGCACTTCTAGCTGTCATCCTGTCTGTCACTGCACTGACACTGAGGTGGGCAGCAAGAGTTGGCCAACACCTCCCATCCCGGACTCTTTCAAACACTCCCCTCTGGCAGGCAGCTGCAGTTCATGAGAAACCAAACGCCACAATACCCGCCTCCTGAACTCACCGTGATCAGAGAGAAAGGAGCTTTTTAAAGTCTGTGTGTGTTCAGCTCTCAGTACGTCTGTAGCTTCTAACTGAATCTCTGTGGTTTGGAGTTTAGGTTCTCTCCTGCGTCCTGTTTTTACTTTACATATCTGCTTTTTGGTTTCATGTTCGCTATCAGCTGTATTAGAAGTTGTGTGAAGTTGTATTTTCTTATTTTGCTGCTTCACAATAAAAGGTATTTCATAACAAAATAACAGGGGACACTATTGTGAAGAATCTATAGGAAGTGAAATGTCATGTTACTGAATTAGTGGAACTTTATTCGCGGCTTTTCTTCAATTAAGACGTCTAATAACAGGGCAGGGAGGAAGAGTGAAAGCAGTAACAGCCGCAGTGAGACATTGATGAAGAGCTGCAGACAACAGGCTCTTACTGCACCTCTGCAAACAGCTCACCTCCAACAGGTAAACTTCTTTTACCTGCTCTGCTGTGGAAAATCACATGCAGCAAAAATAATGGAACTTTAGCCGTAGATCAGCCCGCTACTTTAAACGTCATCACTCAAGACAAGGGGGCTATCAGTGAAAGACACACCTTCAAGAAGATGGCCCTGTTGTAATGGAAATGCCAATGGCTGCTGAGCTGGGCTGATGGCCCAAACCAAGCCAAGCCAAACCAAGCCAAGCAGAGCCAAGCCAGCCCATGACTGTCAAAAAAGGGTATAAGTGACCTTCCTTAACCAGGCCAGGGACCTCGCTGACACAGATTTTTACCCCCCCCCCCCCCCCCCCCCCATACACACAGACATCTGTCTTAGTATGTTAATGCACATGCTGGACTATTATCTCTGCACATTATACATATACTCTGCTCTGTGAACTTGTGCACTCCTCTTGATCTGTATTTTGCACATCCTGCACAAAACTGTACATTTATCTCATTCTAAAACAGTTCTATCGTACATATTTGTTAGTAGTTCTGTCATATTTTTATTGCAATTTTTTCTTTTCTGTATTTATGTCCTTGAGTTTTGCAGTACTTTACCTTTATTTTTATTTTCTGTTAACATGTTTATTGTATGCACCAAACACCAAGGCAAAAAACTCGTAAATAAAAACTTATTCGGTTATGAATCATATTCTGATTCTGATTTTTGTTTCAGGAATATTTGAAGATTTGAATTAATGTCCATGTTTGATTATTTACTGACCTAATATACCTGACCACCAGAGTTTCCCACAGGAACACAGTTTTTTGTGGGTCTGTGAACGCAGCGTACGTAAATATTCTAAATGGAAGATTCTCTTACTCTGCAAATCCTGAAGCTTCTAACTGATGGTGCAGTCAAAGTAACTGGGACTTGCTTTTAGGTTATTTGTCAGAGATGCATAAACTTCCAGGGTCAAACATAATAATATTATTAATTTGCTCAAGCCTGCAAAGAATGTTGACATATGGTCATCTCTGCACAGTGACACAGACACATTTTGTACAGAAAAAGTAAAAGCACGAATATCCACATAGTGTTGCTACAAAATATTTGTTTCATTGATTTGATGACTGATTGCTCTCCCTCCTCTTATATGTGTGTGTGCATGTAGACATGTATTACTCACGTTGTGGGGACATAAGTGTGTTTACACCGTCACATTGTGGGGACTTCCCCTCCTTTTGGAGACAAACAGCACTGATTTGTACACGACATCTATTGCACGTCTGTTTGTCCTGGAAGAGGGATCCTTTCTCAGTTGCTCCCCGTTAAAGTTTTTTTTTTCTGTTTACTATCAAATATGACAAAGAAAAGCATCAAATGCTCACATTTGAGATGCTGCAGCCAGTAAATGTTTGACATTTTAGCTTAAAAAATTACTGATAATCATCAAAGTTGCATTTTTAAACAGCTTATCAAGGAAATTCAATTTGCAAAAGATGCAAAAAAATCAAGTTTCTACATCTGTGTTGTTTTCATAGATGCGTATCCAGTCTCGGAGGTGGTCTACACGTGGACTAAGGGTGCAGCAAAGTCGGTGGTGGTGGCAGAGGAAGGATCCCGACTCAACCAGTATCATCTGATTGGTCAGACAGCAGGGACAGAGGACATCTACACCAGCCGAGGTACAGTGAAGTGACGGTACCTGACCACCTGACCCTGGGCGACCAAGCCTCTGATTAAAGATGACCCGCTCTATCATACACACAACTATCTGCACCTGAGCCAGAGTTACATCCCTCTGTTATCTTCACACAGTAGCTTCAGGCAGCAGCGCGGATGTTAAGCCCCCGCTTCAACCCTATTATTCAGCTCTGTGTTATTACAGTGTGTGCCATCCAAAGATGTTGTGAGAAGAATTTTTTTTTTTTTTTTTTTTTAAATCAAGCAGGATAGAGACAATGAATGAATCACAAGGATTTGAGAATGCCTCCCACACATAGCCAGCTGTCTCTGGGGCTGCCAAGAGAAGAGAGAACGAGAGGGGAGGGGGGCAAAAAAAAATCACTTATCCGTGGTCTGAGCCATTGGGTCTGTAGGGTTAATCCGCATGCAGGCCCATCAGTTGTGCTTTTACTGAGTGACGTCACAGTTCAGGGATTGGCTGCTGCGGTGGAGACACGTTGGGGGGGGTGGGGGGGTGGGGGAGTGGCATCTGCTTAATTCTGTTATGTAAAGAAGTATGATAATACATTTCTGCTGCTGAGTTTATTACCGGGGAGCCGCTCCTATAGCTGTAATGTATACAGAGGTAGCTGCTTGATCCCGTACTCGCTGGGTTTACTCTGGATAATGTACAAAACGTTTACCGTTAAGTATGCAAAGGGAGCTTTTTAAGCAGGAGAAAATCCAGCAGGAGAAAGACCCAGACTCAGATTAGCACGCAGGTTGCCATATATCACTGTGCGTAACTTTGCCCCCCACACAGCACTGCTCAGACTCACAGAGCCAGCATGGCCTTAATTAGCATTGCTAATCTGAGGTACAAACCCTCTTTAACAAGCCAAGAATAGCTCAGCAAAGTGCTCACAGTGGGTGCAGGTGACCTTTGACCTCACAGGTTAAGCTGAGGAGGATGAAAATATAGACGCAGGAATTGATGACAGGCAGACCTTGTAGTTTCATTACATTACACGTCAGATCAAGACAGAAAGCGGCAAAGCTCAACAGATGGTTCTGATCCGTACTCACCAGTTGACCAACATAGCCGCGTTGTTCTCAGCTATGAACGGCAGTTCCCCACAGACACTCCAAAAACCAAACAGTAAAATCCACCACAACCGCATTTTTACACCTCGGAGATTTCCATCCACTTCCAGTCCCAGCAGGCGGTCAGATCAGATCGGGGTTCACCCAGTCGTGCCACCACAGAGCAGGGCTGCTGGCTAGTAGTCCTCGGAGCAACACAGGTGCCCTTTTCATTAAGGACATGATGCTCGTCGCCGCATCACACGGACCATCCAAACTTTTCCCCCGGTCCCTCTCAGCCCCCCTCTGCCTCAGTCATCTGTGCACCTGCTTGTAATCACCGCTCTGTTTTAGTGTTCGAGCTCAGGCAGGCAAGGATGTATGTCCCCAATCAAGAGTGGCCTGGCCTGACAGAATGGGATGGACTGTCTGCTGCACACACACACACTCTGACAAACACACACACACACACACACACACATAGAAAGAGAGAGAGGGAGACAGAGGGCGAGCGAGAGAGATATACAGGATGCAGATTGTGACAAGGGATTAGTGAGACAGAAAAATCCGATTTTGCCAGGAGAAAGCAGCAGTCATCTGTGGATTTTCTATAGTTTATCAGACTCCATGGCTCGACAGGATTTTTGAGAAAGGAAAAAATCCTTCAAATGCAATCTTCAGTTGATTAACAGGATGTGATGATTTCCCCACAAACCTGTTTCTCAATAATTTGGTTCACGCTTCCATAGTTAGAGGAGTAGTCTGGTGTGGAGGTTGTCATGTAAAGTTTACTCACACAGCTCTTTAATCACAGCCTCCACACGGACTACACAACGCCCACTGATTGAAGGAAATGAAAACAACACACGCCAAGACAGATTTTTAATGACAGGAAGCAGAGAAAATACAATGAAAAAGGAACGATTGTAAAAGGGAATCCCCGTCCAAAACAGGTCTGAGATAAGAGAAATGATTATAAAAGAACAAAAACACCAGATAGAGTGCCTTCATTATCATCATCATCATCATCATCATGGTCATCATAGAAAAGACACTGAATTTAACCACGTTTCCACCGAGCAGTTCAGTTCAGTTCAGTTCAGTTCGGTACTTTTTTTTTCCACTGTGAAAAGTTGTGGATGGTACCAATAGAACTGTTCTGTACCGTCCCCATGTTTGGTCCCCCCTCTGTTGGGGTACCTAGCACACAGATCTGGTACTAAAGGGTGGAGCCGTGAACACTGCAGTCTGGCCAGTAGAGGACGGTCACTCTGCTCAGGGCTGAGTTGTGTCTGGTTTTGAGGCTTGTGTAACCACTGTTCATACTGTGGAGAGTTTTATTAGTAAACTGTAACTATAAAATGAAAGCATGTTTTACTTAATTCACTGGGCCAACTGCCGGCAACTTTTAACAGGGTTCCTACGCAAGTATGGAAAGTATGGAAAAGTATGGACATAAATTTAATCAATTTCCAGGTATTAAAAAGTATGGAAAATGAAAAATAAAGTATGGAAAAATATTTATGTTTCCAGACTGTTACCACTGTTCTAAAATACTGTTTTCTAAAATAGAAAATTAGGTATTTCCAAAAATAATTTAATCAATCCGGGTCGTGTTTTATGCCGGGCCAGAAAACATACCGCTCCTTTTACCTGATTGACAAGTGGCATGTCCAGTCCGCTACATGCTGCACTATGTAGAGGAGAGGAGAGAGCTCTGTCTTACCTCTTCATAAACTAAAGTCATGCGCGACGGATGCTTCATATAATAACATAACAATATAGGCCTACTATTTATGGTGTTATGTCATCGTGTCATTTCTGTCTCTACATGGTCACGCGTTAACAATTCTCCTCTGCTCTCTGTATCGCGCACGGCGGAGTTCCGCCACAACACAGGTGAGCACGCTAGAGCTGCTCGGGCCGCATTTTCCTGACCAAACCTGACCCCGAGCCCGGTGCAGTTTGTCAGCTGACAAAGTTATTGTTATGGACACTGTGTAAATAACTAGTAACAAACGCACAGACAAACACGCTGCTCGCACAGCAGCGCAGCACGGCACTCATGGTGCTGAGCTTATGTTGCCCTCAGGCGTTGTCACGTAAATAACAACTTCCAGCACTTAAATAGGTCATAGCACAAAACAGCAGCATGTCAAGTGACTTTTTACTTTTATTATATTCAATAAAATTTTATTTTCCTAAATCTTGAGACACCTCATATGTAAGCTAGACAGACATTTCACCTGCTCATTACTGTGCACACATGTACTGTATGTACTTAGTCCTAAAGAGCCCTTCTGGTGCCAGTAGATATATAGAAACATCCCAGCAGGCTGTGCTTTGCAAGCATACAAAAAAGTTTCACGCATGTGAAAATTATTTTTCATGCGTGTGCTTCACCTCCGCTGCTACAACTCCATCCTAGGGGAAACACTGCTGTGTGCGTTTTGTGCAACAGGTGGATGTGGTAGTCTACTGGTAGAGTAGAGAGAGAGCTAAGTAGCGTTGAAGTAGAGTAGAGCAGGGCAGAGAGATGGAAGCAAAATATATTAAACCCAGTGTTAATACAGCAGAACTGGAGAGAGGGGTGAAAAATAAATATAGGTGGGCATGGCTCAAGTAGGGCGCAAAATTATAGACGGAGAACGATTGACAAAAATTGCCACTGCCAAGTACCATTATGGTACTTGGCTACAATCACCTATTAAGAATAATTAAATGTGATGTGAAATATGATACATTGATATATTTACTCAGATGTCGCATATTCTCTGAAAAAAAAACAAAACAACAACGCCGAGAAGTCTGGAAATTAGGGTATGGAAAAGTATGGAATTTTGAAATTCCAAATGTGTAGGAACCCTGTTTTAAGGTGGAATGTTAACTTGTAATGTCACTCAATGCATGAGTTGATAACATGAAACCATCAATACACCTTAAATTTCACTGAGACAACTTTGACCATCACTTTAGTTTCTATTGTCTCTCTTGGATGACAGACACTTTTAGTAATAAGTGGATCATCAAGCATTGTAGTGTAGCGTCGTTCCTGTGAGCTCCAGCAACACTAAACCCCTGAGCTTGCCTTAGAGGGACTAAATGCACAGACACACTATTTTTAAGAGACTCTCGAGAGAGTTATATTTTGTTCTGAAAATGTCAGCATGCAGCCTCGTTCTGTGGATGATAAACAAGGTGCAGACTGATAAAGTAGGAAATACAGTTAGTGCTGAATGGAGCAATGAACAACAATAGCCATGCCCACATTTAAGAGGACTGTTTGCGGTGGAGACTCTAAGCGGACCTATGGTCTAGGTACCATGTCTGTAGGGTTACATGTGGGTCCAAAGATACCATACCGAAAGTGTTTGGAAAAAAACGTCACTGTCTCAGTCACCATGAACTTCTAACAGCAGTGTTCCAGTGTGGTGCATACCAACAGCAGTTGGAACCTAAAATTGCAAACACTAAAAAACTAGATGGGCACCTGGGGGCGCAGACCTCCGGCAAGGCCTACCCTCACCCCCCAGCCCCACCCACCTGAGCAGGGTGTGTGCGGGATAGGGATGAGACGGTGTTGTTGCAGTTCACCCCCGGTGAATGTGAGCTAACCCCCAGAAACACAGCCACCTCCATATTTGTTTGTGACATCTGAGGTGAGATCTGTGTGCATTTATTGCAGAAAAATGCCCTGGGATTCGAATCTGCTCCAAAATTTAATGGGTTCATACTTGGCCTATGCTACACCCTTTCACCAATACCCTTTTTCCATGACCACTTTTCGCTGTGCAGAGTCAAACAATACCACGCTGATCTCTCTGTACATTATCAGATAACAGCCCCCGATGACCCCCTTCTCCCCCTGAAACAAACGTGTGCGTTGCGAGACTCAACTCACCTCTGTCTGCAGGAGACCAGAGAGAAAGGCTTTTTTTTAAAGTCTCTGTGTGTTCAGCTTTCAGTAATTTTGTATCTTATAAATGAATCACTGCAGTTTACTTTCTCTCTTACGTCCTGTTTTTACTTAAGATATCTTCTTTATTTTACTGTCTTATGTTTGTTTGCAGCCATTTAGGAGTCTTATTAAGTTCCTGCTGATGAAAACCCACATTTCATTATTTTGCTGCTTCACAATAAAAGCTTTTACATGACAGATTATTAGGAGACTCCTACTGTAAAGAATTTACAGGACATCAAATGTGTTTATCACTGAATTAGCAGAACTTTGTTAGCATTTTTCTCCAATAAAAACAAGCCTGCTAACACTGCAGGAAGGAAGAGTAAAAGCAGAAACAGCCACAGTGAGATGTTTGATAAAGAGCTGCAGACAACAGACTCTTACTGCACATCTGCAAACAGCTCACCTCCAATAGGTTCCCCTCTTTTACCTGCCCTGCTGTGTGATGGAAAAACAAGCTCATTATCAGTTAAAGACACACCTTCAAGCAGGTAGCCCTGTTGTGATAGAGAAACAAATCCCAGCCACGCTTGGCTGACGTGCCAAGTCAAACCAAACCAAACCAAGCCAGCGCTTGAGTTTGAAAAAAATGTTTCAAAATCAGGTCAGTAGGTTTTCTGTAATCCTGTTGATAAAGAGACAAACGAACCAACAGCACTGGAAACGTAACCTCCTCCCTGGAGGTAACCAAATGACACATGGCATTACTCACACACAGCTATATTAACACTGGTCTAATGGGTGAAACAGAGAATAAAGAGTTAACCACCCATATTGTCAGATAGAAACTCAGGGTTATATTTAGTGTCCCTACAGTTCAATAGTTGAAAGTCATTTGCAATCCCTAACGAGGTTCTAACACCTGGGTTTTTTGTATTGTTTCAAATGATATTATGTTCCAGATTAGAGGGTCACATAGGAGTGGATTTTCACTTCTGTCCCATCCCACTCCCACAAAAAGTTTCTATCCTGCCCCAACCCCATGACAGAGTAAAAAAAAACAGAGCAAATCAGTATAGTCAGTATAGCATAATGCTGAAGTAACTCCTAACATAACAGCTGGTATGGCTATATTGTCCATATTTTTGTTTTGTGATAATATTCTTATAGCATACTTTTCATATTTTTTGTAATGTTTCTGACTGTTGCAGTACATTTACTTTAATTCTTTACTTTAATGCTTATTGTATGTTTATTGCATGCTCCAAACACCAAGGTAAATTCCTTGAGAATGAAAACCTGCCTGCTACCTTATTTTGAGTCTAACTGCTACAACCATGTGGCAAATAACTTAGTATGTTAGCTCAATGCTAACATATAATAGGAATTAACATTACCCCACTGACGGAAAATTTGCATTGCGATGGCGATGATATTATCTAGCAAACGATCCATTTTGCCTAACGTGCTTAACATAAAATGACATGTATGCTCATGCTTACGGACATGTATTTTCAAGACTCTGTGAAAATGAACTAATAGCTTCTGGCTTATAATAATTATGATTCCTGTCCTACCGAGACATGTATAGCTGTAGACACATTTCATTTGTAGGGAACATGGCACACCCCACAAAAAACGCCTACCATTGGCACAAAATAAACCCACCAACACGACGGTTATCTGAAGTCTGCTACAATGCCACACTGTAGTGAATAAATGAGCCATACATGAAGACCTTTTTTCTTGTTCCATCCCAGTCACGTGATGAGTAATGAAATTGACTGTCATCCCGTGGGAATCCCAGGGGAATCCTGTGACCCAGGGTATTCCTGTAAAAATGCAAACCTCACCTTGGCTCCAAAAGGATGTCAATTTATTTTATTAAAAGAAAACAAAAACCTGGTCAAATGCCAAGATATGGATGCAAATGGCCAATTCTGTAGTGTTAGTAGTAGGCTGAAGCAGCTCTTTCTTTATTCCAGTGGATCTTCATTTAAAAGATGAGGCTGGTGATGATCTATTTTTTTGGTTATTGTTGATAAATCCCAGAAAATGAAAAACAAAAGTGTATTAGTCCACCTCAGTAACTTCCTGTTCCTCTTACGTGTCTGTGTAATTTCCTAAATCCGCTGCAGTTTTAGAACGTTACATAGACAGGTGATAATGGTGCATTTGTTGGGACTATTTTAAGTTGCGGATCATTACACATTTCATGCTCAAGTGAGGGTTTACAGCAACAGGATGGTGTTTGTCAGAGTGACTTAAAATAAACAGTGTCTGAATGATGAATACTGGTGTAGTCTAATAATAGCTTTCAGTCTGTTCCCAGGTCAGATTTATTGGGTTTTGCTGTGCTGTCTGTGAGGTAGTCCTCTGATGGACACACAGGTGTTGTGTGGTTGATTTTGTAAAAAATAATATACGGCACTCCTCCACCTTCTACATCCCATATTGTTTCCTTCAGTATTTCTTTAAACTGTTTTCATTACGCCAAGTAGGGACTAACTGAAAACTAACTGGCAGCACTTCCTCCTCTGTCCTGCTGTGTACCACAGGTCAATACACCGTGATGATGGCTCACTTTTACCTAAAGAGGAAGATCGGCTACTTTGTCATCCAGACGTACATGCCTTGCTTCATGACTGTAATCCTGTCGCAGGTTTCCTTTTGGCTCAACCGGGAGTCTGTGCCAGCGCGGACCGTCTTTGGTAAGCTTGAAACATGCAGACACATCAGCCAGTAAAGTAACAGTGACTGTTTCCATGCACAAAATATTCCAGTTATTCTGAAAAAGACTATATTCCTACTAAGTTGTTTAAGTGGTGAATGAAAATGATTCCAATAATTACCAGTATACATGCAGCAGTGCATACTCCCAATAATGTACCCTAGCATGTTGTTTATCATGTCAAATATAAAAAAGTAGAACGACTGGTACCACTTGCACTTTGGCTCTTAACATCAAAATAGGATTTTTTCAAAGTTTCCTACCCCTGGCGGACTTGTCGGACCTTACAAACACAGCCTCCCTATTTCATTCCTTCAACCACCTTCTTAGGTTGGTGTTGTGATATTTGCACATATTCAAAAACCTGTTGAAATCCAAGTCTTTTATAATATTTAAAATTGTGTTTGTCCCTCTGACCATAAATGTGGGATTCTCTTTTGGGCATGCATCTCTACCCCAGCCCCCAGCCCAGCATTGGCAAGTTGGTTTGTGTACAACATATGCATGACAACGCACATAGCCGACCGTAAACAGACAAGAAGCTATGTGTCGCAAATAGCGGTAAAAATCCCAGTTGAGAAACATATCCTGAATGCACTGTAAACATGTCCAAAGAATGCTCCTAAATATCCCACGTCTTAATCGGAAAACACTAAATGACCCGTATCTAATACAGAATAGTAGTGGAATATTAGTGTGCATGTAAACGTACCTAATTATGTACTTAAAGGAAAACTTCACCCACACAATGACCAATTGTTTATCAATTACTTATGTGTTACCTTGCATATGTGCCGCCACGATGAATAAAGAATCCAAAAACGTTGAACATTCTTGATCAATTAAAGTCATAGGGGTCTGCATTTAACAACAGCACACTTATATCAAAATATCTGTTTACAAACTCTGACACAATTCACGCAGTACAATCCGAGTCTCATTTATCCAGTGGTTTGCTTAGCACTTCCTAAACACAGGCATTTTTGCTAAAACCTTATGATAAAAACACTTTCGCATGAATAGTCTCATGTATGGACGAGTAGCACACCTGGGCAACTCAATGGAACGCACAAGCAGTATTCAAACGCACACACTTGTATGCGCAGATTTTTCAACTTGTAGGTTTTAGCAAAAAAAAAAAGGAAGTACTGAGAACACGACTGGATGAATGAGACTTGGAATTTACTGCATGACGGAGGCAACCTCCTGTTGGAAGACAGGCTTTGTCAGGTCAGACGTTATCTTCTGCCTTCAGCCTACATGTGGTAAATTTACAGTCATGATCCAGTGTTGGCAAAAAATGTTGCTGCACATTCCTGAACCACTGTTGGCATTGTTAACAAGCATTAGCTCGGAGGGCTAACTGGGCTTGTTTGCTTCCCATGTGGCCAGCAACATCCTTAGACGCTAGGGATGTTGCTGAAACTAAAATTCAATGTCAGGACAACATCTAATGCCAACGTCAATTTGATGTAGAATACTGACAACAGATGACACTGATGTTTTGTTTGTTGTAAGTTGTGTTGTTAAGTAACCAAATCCAGTGTCTTCCAAACGTCTCATGCCAACGTGATCTTGACACAGAATAATGATAAAACCCAACGTCTGCAAAACATACGTTTAACGTCTATTATGTGAAATTCTATCGTTGTTAACCACTTGAAATACTGTAAACCTGATTTTAATTCCAACCAAAATTTAACGTCTGTACAACATAAGAGTCCACCTTCTGTCTGATGTCATATTGACGTGCCAGCTGGGTAAAGTATGTGAATGCTACTGTCACCCTAAACGTCCCACCAAACCCCTCTCAAACTCTATATTGAAAAAAAGGAACAAACAGTCGAATATTCGCCAGATTTGACTGACATAATTCTGAGCCGGGTACAGGCCTATATGCATGCATACCCTGGTACCACTGCTGCATGATTTGTCGACAATGCTCTAAAATGTGATCTCCTGTTACTACAGTTTATTCTGTTGGAATAAAACCAGAGTAGTAGGCTTGGTTAGTAAAAGTGACTCAGTTTTCTTCACCACCAGGTGTGACCACAGTGCTCACTATGACCACTCTCAGCATCAGCGCTCGAAACTCGCTGCCTAAAGTGGCTTACGCTACAGCTATGGACTGGTTCATCGCAGTGTGCTATGCCTTTGTCTTCTCCGCCCTCATTGAGTTTGCCACAGTTAACTACTTCACCAAGAGGAGCTGGGCCTGGGATGGAAAAAAGGCGATGGAGGCTCAACAGCCCAAGGTATGTGCTGTTTGTGTATGTGTGTGTATGTGTGTTCTTGTTAATAAGACATTAGGGGGACTCACACCTGGCTCACATTGTGGGTACCACTGATTAATCAAGAAAGTAATCGCCAAAGTATTCAACAATGAAAATAATCAGTAATTTAATCCCAAAATGTTAAGACTTATTTAGAAAAACAGTCAAGTTAAAGTTGCTAGAAGTAAAATCAAAGTAATGACCTGAAAGTTCCTGAAACGCTGTGCAGAGCTGAGAGGAATTGCAGAGTTGGATGGTAGGTTCCTCACTGTAGGCGACCACTTTCACATTATACAACATCATTTGAGCCAGTGCATGAGTGCAGCTTCAACAGGTTAAAGAAACTTTTGGATCCCAAAAGAGGGAATCCCCTCAAGAACTAATAGTCAGTGCTTGAGACAGGAAGTCCTGTACTCAATGCTTGTTCGTGATTCACCCAGCATTGGCATCACACCCACAGCCAGACAAACACAACCTGCAGATTTAGTCACAGTCGTACACAAACAGCAATGTGCACACTCACACACAGAACAAAAAAATAGAAGATTTATCTCCTGAAATCTGCTGGAGCACATCCTGCAATCACTCCTGCTACAGCACACATTTTCCATTGAGCACTCTAATATTGATTATTTCAAAGACAAATGAAAGAAAGACAATTATTGGGGCGCCCGCAAGCTCACCCGAAGAGTGGGTGCCTTATGTACAAAGGCTGTGTCCTTGCCACAGAAGCCATGGGATCAATTCCAACCCACAGCCCACTTTTCTGCTGCCCCTCCCCCACAAATGAGACAAGAATTAGCTAGCTTGCCACACCACAGTCCCTAAAACTTGCCTTACCAGGTGGAGAGTGGATAGCAGCTTTGAGAATGACTTAAATTCAGCCAGCCCTAACCCCTCAGCACCAGGTGTCACAGCAGACTGATGGCCAGCAGCAGCAGTGGTTCTAACCTGTAGTGTAACGGCAGCAACAGAAAGTTTGCCGATCTGGCAGGAGTCAGGGCAGTCAGGATCCCAAGAGCTGCAGCATGCGCCGATTAGATCCGTGTCACTGCAGCTGCTAACTGGGGGTCAGTCTCCAGAGCTGCTGCCTGCTCTTCTCCTAGTGAGGTGGTCTGTAGCAGGAGGGAGTGAGGTGGAGGACACACTGTGATTCAAGGGTTTAGCTAATGTTAGATACATAAACATGAACTTAAAGCAGCAGCCGTAAGCCTTACCCCCGATTTCCACATACTCCATCTGCACCGCGCAGTAAGTAAAAGAACAGGGTTTGGCTCAGGAGTTGCGAAACACCGCTCTCCTGAGTGAAAGTTGGTGTTTGTTGGACCCATCCACCATCCCTTCCATCCACCCTAATCAGACTTTCACCACCCCAATTTTCATTCTTGTCCCACCGCTTTTCCCCTTGCAACCGGCCACATATCATGCCGATGTTAGAGGACGGCTTTTTTCGTCCATGTCTGACGCCAGAGGTCATTGCCCAAGCCCAAACTTCGGAGCGAGACCAGGTTGTAAATAAATACAGATAAATAAAAACATGCTGACATTCTGAGGAACACATGGCATTAATGTCAAACACAGTTCTAAACTGACACCTCTTTCCCTTCATTTTCTCTTCTTCTCTATTCATTCTCTCTAAAGAGGTTTGATGAGGTTGGTGTGGAAAGGGAGCAAAGTGAAGTCCGTGTCACACATGATAATAAGTAAGAGATGAATTAGGCAAGAAGAAGAAGTTCAGAAATGGTGGATCAATAAATTCGCAGTTCAGTCGGCCGGTGTTGTGGCACAGTGCCAGCTCATTACTGCCCAAGGACATTGATCCCCACTTTCAGCCTCCACTGGCCATCTTTTCTTCTCCTCTTTGTGTTCTTGTGTGTGCCTGTGTTATTAACTCCTTGTTTTATTATGTTCGATGAATGAGCAGCACTTTTGTTTGGGCATAATTGTGTGTACGCTCAATCAATGTGTTTCTTTCTCTCCACAGAAGAAGGACCCTTTGGCTCTGTCTAAAAAGCCAAACAACACCTGCTCGGCTGGTGTGAATTACACAACCAACCTCACCAAGGACGCATCCATCTCTACTATTTCAAACAGCACGGCTGTTCAGCTCAAACCCTCTGAATCCAAGGCCCCGGACCCCAAAAAGACTTACAACAGCGTGAGCAAGATCGACAAGATGTCCAGAATAGTGTTCCCGGTGTTGTTTGGGACTTTTAACCTGGTGTACTGGGCCACGTATCTCAATAGGGAACCAGTGATCAAAGGAGCAGTTTAAGCTCTGCGATCAGGATCATTTATCCTCCTGATGACCACTTCAGGATTTCATCACTGGAACGCAATCAAAATCAATGCCAAGCACTTAGTCCTTGTATCATAGATGTGTTTTTTTAGCTCATTGGATCACACTGCATGTCTGTCGCTTCAGAAAAATGTTGCCTTGAGTTTGTACATGTAAATTACACGAGTTTTCAGTTTATATCATTTTAGACCTCCAGTCAGTGAGTAGTTTCTGCTAGATTCTGATACTTTAACATTTTAGCATTTGGCATTTATATTTGTTCCAACAGTAGACGATGGTACAGTGCAGCAAGGCCAAATGCTATGCAAAACATTTTTACAGCGTCATTACTCTAAAGCGGCTTTTACCTTTGTGACTCTTACTTTGTACAAATGGGCCGGAGGTCCAGGTACGCGAGGCCGGGCCCAGGCACATGGAACTTTGCTTCCTTGTTAAAAGCAGATGAATAGCCATGCTAAATGTGTTGCCTTCAGAGTGTGATAACTCATGATGAATGCACTGAAATCTCCCGCAGTTACTTTTTTAGAAGCCAGATTCACAACCTTCTCTGAATCATGTTCTGTTTTGGATCTTATTTTTTCTCTCAATTGACCTGACCTAAGTCCCGCCCCCTTTAGTTACGATTGCCACTGCAGACGAGCTTGACAAAAAGAAACATGGAGATGCTGGTTCTGCTTAGCTGGGAGCCGCAGTCTTTATTAGAGTTTCTGGGCATCTGGACATATAGCTTCAAGAAGCCAACAGCAAAGACTACAGTATATGATGGAAGGACATTTTCTCCACGTTAATGTTTATGAACAAAACGACGCGAATCAAGAACTGAGGAAGTAGAGACCGGGGTTAACAAGACTATGGCTGGGTATGTGTCTCCTTTTCCTATTCTGGGGATCACTGAAGTACTCTCTGTATTTATTACTGAATACACACCATGGTGCTGACATAATGATAGTCTCTCTTTAGTGTATAAAGTTATGTTAGTTACTTTGGGGCAGCAGGTCCTTACAGAGATAACATTAGCCTTAAGGTTTTCTGGCTAACGATAAATTATGTCAGCAACCAATCGATCTCTCGTTTTCCAAATCTACAACGTTATTACAGAAGACAATGAGGAAGCGAACCTGGCTAACGTTGTTAATGTGACATTAGGCTAACACTACACGCAAAACACCTTGAAGCACACCAATTTTCGTAGAGCGCTGCCTACTTGAGGCCGTTCACACTGGACGCAGCGTGGTGCCAATCTCCGTGGCCGGGTCACGATCTGCAGTGATAGTTTAAGCACCTGGTCTATTTTTCCCGCAAGCTGCGACCAAATCTGGTAAGAAAACACACTGGAAATGTGCTTCAAATGATACAACGTGTGCATTGGATATGATATAAATGAAATGTGATAAATGACAGAATACACATCCCATGCCTCCACATATTCGTCAGCTGTGTCTTAAAAGAGAGAGACCAGCAGAACCACGACAATTAAAAAATTAGGGTGGTTCCACGTCTAGTGTGATCATGGCGTAACTCCTCTTGATGTAGCTATACATTAGCTAGTTAGCCCGCAATTTACTAAAATCTTTGATGACATCACAGCTTTTCTTGGCTTGAGGAAAGTTTTACAAACATAAAATCTCTATGGATCAAAATTCACAATAGAAAAAGTTGGAATTGACCTTGTTTGCAGTTTGATGCTTTCTGGGCCACAGGAAATTTTTTCGATGTAATACCGCAAGTGGCCACTGGGACAAAAATGGCTGCAAGGCTGAGCAGCGTTCCTGGAGGCCTGATCTATATATCACAGTAAACGGGAATGTTTACGGAAGTTCTGTCAGGTTCCAAGCCTGCTCAACTGTTGCTGGAGCACAGGACTTAGGGCAGGCTAATTTTAAATGACCAGTTTTTCATGAATATAATTTTCCAACGGGGACAGAATTCAAGCTAAAGTGAAAGTGGCAGCTTCTGTTTCCAGGTCACCATGTTGAGAATCCTGTATGTACGTACGTATGGTCGTAGTTTAAAAACATGTATATATGCCCTGCTTTTAGAAAAGTACCACTAAGCCAGTAAAGTTAGCTTCTATGTTATGCATATACAGCAGCACAGTGTTACTCTAGTCTAGTGCTTCATTGACTGGATCTTGAGAAATGAGCAGAATAGCTTGAGCTTTAGCAATTTTGACAGAATATACGATGCTTTTTTAAAACATATTGGTTTTTTTAGATCAGTTTGTTGTTTCTATAAGCTTTGATGATAACTCGCAAATATTCTTGATAAATATTTGGATGCTTTGAGCAGGATCACTTTTTTTGAGTAACAGTTAAGAGACTGACTTGAGCTCATTGGGTTGTCGGGCTGATCGGAGAGACAGACAGTCACAATTTTGACCACTGTCATTTTTAAATCATGATTTGTTATTTTTAGGACGTCAGGCAAAAACATGAGATTGAATATTAATACAAAGTTTTCATCAAGTTCATTGAGCTAAATCTTAAAGGGAAAGTTTGACATTTTGGGAAATCTGCTTTCTTACAGAGAGTCAGATGAAAGGATTCATATCACTCTCATGTCTGTACAGTAAATGTGACGCTAACACCAGCAACAGGTTAGCATAGTATAGCTTGAAGACAGCTAATTCTATTAAAGGAATACTTTTTGGGGAAATATACTTATTTGCGTCTTTGATGAGTCTGTACACCAAATATGAAGCTACAGCCAGATGGTATTAGTTTAGCTTAGCATAAAGGTGGAAACAGGATAATGGCTGACTTGGCTTTGTTCAAAGACTAGAAATCACCTTACCAGCTCCTTAAAAACTCACTCGTAAGCGTGTTGCATCTTATTTGTTGAATGCATACAAAGCCAGTGATGAGACTCAAGCAAGTTGTTGTACCAGCTGTGTGTTAAAACATAGCATTAATTCACAATGTAGAGAATGAGAAGTATGTTCCTTATTAAGTGTTGTCGTGGGAAAGAGAAACAAGAGAACAGCCAGATGGAAATGTGTTTGGTATTTCTATCAGGAGTAACAGTATAATTTACTTTCTTTCTTTCTTTCTTTCTTTCTTTTTTTTGCTTTTCTCCTTCATTTTACCAAAATGGTGCACATGAAATATCAGTCTCTCTAATAACATTTTAATAATAAAGTAGAGGTGGTGCAACTTCAGAAAGTTACAACTACTTACAACTTTGTGTCAACTTTACACTTGAAATTAGATTTAAAAAGCTTGTTTTAACATTTCGGTTTTACACCTCCAAAACACTTGGCGGTGCTGGGGTTTCTGTGAAGTGCAGTAAAGTTTGATTGATTCAACTAAAATGCCTATAACACACATAAACATGGCTTAACCCTTTGAAACGTTGAGCGACATCACTTTTCCTTTGCTGCTTTCAGACACCTTTCGCAAGTATTTAAACCTATGAACCCTGAGTAAATTGGTGCGATTTCTTATAATTATTATTATTAAATTTTAAAATTATGTTACATTTTTTTAAAAAATAATTTTAAGCACTTTTTCTAGGCCATTACCATCTTTTTCTTCTTGAAAAATTTCTGGGTAATTTCTTCTTTTGTTGCTTATTGCCTTCTTCCTGTGTTTTTAAAGAAATCAAGCCAATTGCTCAGGTTTCAAAGGGTTAATAGAGACAATATTTAATGAAAGGACAAAATTCGGCTCCATTATAAATTGCAAGGTTCACAGACTAAACAGTTGTTATTTACAAAACAAGTTTTCCCCACATATACAACATGCTAACTCTATTAGCATAAGCCAATGAAATTTTACATTGCATAGTTAGTAGTTTTCTTCTACTCAGATGATGTCGGAATAAATCACAAACAAGATTTAAAATGCTATTTTGTGGGGGCTTTTTTTGTCTTTACAATTTATTGTCTCTTATCTGTGAAATAAATTTAATAAATAAAAGCTTTGTTTCCACGAAGGGAAAGGGTTTCAGCTTACAGAAATAAACAGGAAGTCTGCGTCGCTGCAACGTGTAGGCTAGTTACTTTTCTAGGGATGTGCATCAGGCCACAGCACAATGTACGCCATAGAGCCTATGCCGAAGGTACAACATCAGTTGCTTTATGACCTTTACAGGTGCTGGAAAGAAGGGGTTTACACTTTATAACTAAATATTTCACATGCCACGTACCTGGCAAGTCCTGTTTCTGTCCCAGTAATGTTTCAAGCATATATTCCAAACTACTGGATGGTGAAAAACAGACATATTTAGGTATATTTACAGATCTACGAACACCAGTCACATAGGTAAGTGGAAACGAGGCGTCTTTATGCTAAGCTAAGCTAATGGTCCCCTGGCTCCAGCTTCATATACAGCATACAGACACGAGAGTTGTATCAGTCTTTTTCGTCCAACTTTCAGCAAGAAAGCAAATAAGTGTATTGAATGAAATAACTCCACCTCACCTGAACACAGCTTTTTCCGTGATACTTCAGAAGTTGCATGCACTGCACTCACTTCAGCAGAGTGTGTGTCGCAGTCTTTACAGTTTGAACACTTAGAGTTTGAGCCTATCGTCTGTTTGGGTGAAGGACTGAAATATGAATGTTATCATGTGACTTTAAGCCTTCTGTGTGGCCTGCCTCTATTTAATAAGTTAATGGAGCACACCAGTTGTATTGTATTATTACATTTAAGTGAATTTTAGGTACAGGCTGTTCTTTAAATGCAAATATCTGAAGCAATAAATAATGCTCATATAATTAAAGACTTCTGTTTATGGTAATATGAGATAATTTGACTTTCATTTTGTTGATGTCTTTTTATCCAGATTGTATCCTTTTGGCAATAGTCTTTTCTATATATGGCTATACTCTGATTCAATTTAGCTCATCCCCTCCCTCTCTGGAAGCACAGTGCTCTCTGACCATGTTTCATGTATTTGTTTAATTTAATTTATTTATTTACCTTTGTAAAAGACCTGTGCAGTTGACCAATGTAAGGGTCTGGGCCACTATGAAAAGTTTTTCCTTTATTAATTGTTATGCATACCTGATTCCAAATAAAGCTTCACTGACTCCATCAGTCTGCTGTTATCGGTCAAATAGCTCAGTGATAATGAAACGTGAAAAGCCTCTGTGTGTTGTGTAATAAAGAGGCTAAAAACACAGGATTGGATATTTGAGGAGTTTACGCGCAAGAAAGCCAAAGAATTAGTACATCATGAGAATTTATAGTGTCTGACAAACAAGCAGTATCAACTGACACACCCACAGCTTTCCAGTACACATGAAAAGGTGTTTCCTGTCACTTAAGCTACTGTTTTCCTGTTATTCAGACAACCAGTTCCGAGAACAATAGCTTCTTCTCACATGACAAAATTTGGCCAGAATCATTTAGCTCAAGTCACGTCAGGATAAAAAGTTTATGTAGGGTCACGTACACTATATATTCAACAAAAGGAGTTGTATTTTAAATTTATGCTTGCATTCATATGCATACTTACATTTCATGTTTTGAATTAGACATAACTGCACGAGGCTAACAAGTGCTAACTTTGAAGATGTTTTGTTGTGCTTACATTTCTAACTTTGTTTTGAATAACCTATGTTACCTATATAATCTGTTAGAATCAGTGCAAGTGGAAAACATGTTCGCCCATAGATAGAATTACAACAAAAAATTTCATGTAGGATATTAAGGGGCCGTGGAGGAACTTCCCAACAGACAACAAATGCTGCACCGACGCTAAACGGATGCGAAACTGATACTAAACAAATTCTAAATGCATGTTAAACAAATTTAAACAAATGTTAACTGAAGAGGGTGAAAGTTTGTTGGGTTGTTGCCTTCACTTGCATTGGCTAATAGTTAATTGTTTACATTGTTAAAGAGGGGGGAATATACATTGTGCGTGACATAAACTTATTATCCAGATGTGACTCGAGCTAAATGTTCTGGCATGATTCTGGCCAAATTTGGTTATGTGAGGAGAAGCAATTGTTCTTGAAGCTGGTTGTCTGTATAAGAGGAAAACAGTAGCTTAAACGATAACTTTGGTATTTTTCAACCTGGGCCCTATTTCCCCATGTGTATGTGTGCGTATGATTCATAGGTACAACTCGTTTTAAAATTGGTTCAGTATTGAGGGAGGAGGATGCAGCCGGGAGCCGCGAGGTAGATATGGGGTCAAATGCATCCCGTATAAGGTTGTGCATTAAAAGTGATAGCACTGGCGATCTGAACCGGTCAGTGGCGAAAAAAAAGCACTTTCAATGCACAAACTTATACGGGACGCATTTGCCCCCATATCTACCTTGCGGCTGCCGGCTGCATCTGCCTCCCTCAATACTGAACCAATTTTAAAACGAGTTGTACCTATGAATCATACACACACATACACATGGGGAAATAGGGCCCAGGTTGAAAAATACCAAAGTTATCCTTTAAGTGACGGGAAACACCTCTTAATGTGTATTGGAAATCTGTGTGGTGAGGTGTGTCAGCTGATACTGCTTGTTTGTCAGACAGAATAAATTGTCTTGACTTACTAATTCTTTTGCTTTCTCACAAGTAAACCCTCATACGTCCAATCCTGTGTTTTGAGTCTCTTTATTCTACAGCACGTCAGTTGTGTCATGACATTTACGTCTCTCTGAGGAGATTCCAGATTAACATACAGAAAGATACAGTATCATTCAGTGGTGTATGAATGTAATCTATGTATATATTTAGATGCATTTATGCAGTCAACGTGATAAAACGCTGCCTTAATCTTGCTTGATGGAACAACGGTCTGCATGTGCTGCCTCTCCTTTGATTATACGCTGCCATGCACATCCACATCCCCATCATGCAGCCTCTGCAGTTGGTGAGCTGGTAAATCCATCTTGGGGGTCTCTGTGGCGGTAACATCTGGCTCACATCTGTTTGTCAAGGATTTAGCTCCATTTAAGTTGCTTTTTCCATTCAGCTGACCCATACTCTACACCAAATTAAGCTGTCACTGATGGCACCAAATGACATCAATCATAGTATATAGCTTGAGAGGCAAAGATGGGCCACAGTATAGGCTGGTGGGGAGGACGGTCCTCTCTCATCCTGCACAGTGATATCAAAACACACTCCATGCTGTCAGGATGTGCTCTTCCTTGCTGACCTTTATATACACATTTTATACATGACAAACTGATGTCATGGCAGGTTGATGCTAAAAAGGCTAAAAGACATTGTTTTTCATTACAAAACTGAATTTCTCAATTTTCCTGGTCAGATTTTGAATGAATTTAAAGGAGTTGTGTGCTCTACTCAGAACATTAAGGGACCTGTTCTTTATTTATCTTGTCATTCATGCTGGTTAGTTTGTGCAAACGGTTTATTTTTGGTCAAATTTCAAGTATTTTTCTGTCATTCTGTGTTCACTGCCTGTAGGGCATAGGGAATGAACGACCTCTTATATATGTTCCAACTGGTTCTTGGGACCCTAAATCAACGCCCAGATGGGAGCAGCTCAAACTCTGAGGGTAATGGATGTGAGGCATCTGCAATTATATGTTTGGCCTTCCTGCGTACGACACTGTCAAATATATTGCTGAGCTGTTTCTGTGACTTGCCAGTCACCTTCCCTGCAATGTTGACAGTCTTGGAGAGCTTGTATTTGCTATATTTCCTTTATGTTTCCTCCTTTTGTGCATCTTTATATATATCTTTATATTTCATTGCCCCATTAATCATACAAGTGTGGTATCAATCTTCTAATTCGACTCTCAGAAAGAATTTTATTATTTTTCTTTTTCTATGCGCACAGAAAAGACAGATGTTTGCCTTATTTATTGTTTGTATTCTATTCTATTTTAAATATTGTAATATGTAGCATGGAGGAGGCTACAACTACATGCAGGAAGAGACTCAAAAGCACTATTCGGACAGGATTAGTTTTACATGGGCACGTGGGGTAATGTCACTTTACCACAGGACGTCAGTAATATTAATGACCGATTCGCACGGGATAATAAATATCAGTAAAACTACCACAAGTGGGAGGGGTAAATCCATTCACGCACTGCCATCCCCTCCTGCCGTCATGTGCGTATGATAGGACTGTCAAAAGCACCATGAAATTGAGTTCAAATATTGTCAAATTAATTTAGTAGACTTCGAATAATATTAGAATTTATTATTATTATTATTATTATTTATTTTTACAAAAAATATATACATGTTCATACATATATATATATATATATATGAACGTGACACTCAGATGAAAACACCCGTTCTGACCTCACTGTGGTGCCAGGTATGACCAACTTCGGCTTTGCTGTCCATG